GACATCACAAAATATAAAAGGTGTTTCACAAAAAAAGAAAAACAGGACAAGTAAACAAAATGCAGAAGAGCTGAACAGTATGAACAGATATTAAACTGCATTGCAGAAGAATTCACAACAATAAAAGGCCGCAAAAAAGAAAAAGGACAAAAACCCCTTTCCATCATAGATTTTAGGCAGAACAGAAGTGCTTCATATGGGTTCCACCTAAAGGACAGCAGAGCTGCCAACACAATGTACAGGAACATTTGACCCATGAGCAAACCTGAAACTCAGGCTCAGCTCTGGCCTGAACACCAGCAGCCCCTTCAACCAGCTTCACAAATACAAAAAAATAAAAAAACGAATCCCCACTACCCATGTTTGGCATGAAAGTACTGATGAGTGAATGAATAGTGTCCAAACATCCCACACAACACATCGGCACAGAATTCAATCGTGTTGATGACGAAGAGAAAAAAAAAGTAAACAAAATGTCATAACAAACGCCTACGTAGGACAAGAGAAAACATCTCAAAATGCATTTGATTGGCAACAGAGAAGAACATAAAAAAGATGGATCCAGATCCAAATGAAGGAATGTTTAGAGCATCAAGTCAGCACATCCGATTGAGGCCGACAGGAGGAGGCTTGTAGCAGGGCTTTCCAGTCCAAACTTACACCACAAATATAAGCAGAGTAACATGAGACGCGCTGAAAAGTGAAGAGGAGAAACATTTCTGGTGGAAAAAGATCATGAGTGGCACATCTGCAGCTCTCAGAGCGTTTCAGTGTAGCTTCAACGTCACTGAGACCAGTTTGATCTTTCCTCCTTGTTTTATCATGCTCTACTACACTAAAAGACAAACACAGATTATTAAGCTGCCGATGAGTTAAACTCTTTCCCAAAGAGTCGCTGTTAACGTCTCAACTCTTCTCCAAATATCCCTTCAGATTAAAAACAAATCTAAAWTGAATATTCAAGCACATGCAAAATAAAAAAAAACGTGGCTAATTGAAGTTCTGTGAACGATTTTGGCCTTGGCTCGCTGCTGACCAACAGAGCCTCACAACAAAAACAGCACCTGGCAAGAAGAGACTACATTCTTTGATAAAAGCACGTCACGTTTCATACTACAGGTGTGATTTACACACCAATCCATGGTGCATAGACAACTTCACCTCATTTATGAGCAACGCCAACAAAGTGAACAGGACAGATTGCATAAATACAAACAATGCTAGTGCATAGTCACTGAAATCCACAAAATCAATGATGTAGGCCTTCAAAAACAAAAAAAGGGGGGAGCAACAGAAATCTGTGTTTGATTTTCACATCAGTGTTTTGTTTTTACAAGAAAAAGTTTTCTCCGTTTTCAGTGGTGGGCACAGCTGACCAAAAAACACATTTCACTGACCACTACTCTGTTTAAAAAGAATCGCTAAACAAATTTTAAAAAGTTAGCTAACGCTAACCCTAATTCACACGTCTTCTCCTCCTTAGTTGAAATTTTCTATTGGTTTAATTTGAAGGTGGGTGGGATTATTTGTGGCAAATCAGCTAATCCATACCAGAGTAGATCTGTTGTTAAGCTACATGCTACACACGTCCTGACACGTCCAGCAATGYTTGTAAGATGGGATCGTTTTTATTCAGTTCAGGATAAATGGCATAAAAATAAAAGTTTCACACAWGTAGCAGATTTAAAATTACTGGAACGTAATTTAGAGGAATCTAACCGTTCCACTGTTTTCCAAAGTTAGCAAAACGGCTAATGGGCTGAATGGTTTTGCAGAACTGTGCCCACCACTTCCTGTTTGTAACAAAAACAAATGAAAACATTTGATAATGAATGAAGGGCTCACTGGCTTGATTCAGCTGAATTTAGACTGAGGGTTGTGATTATTTATTTTTTAAATTGAGAACTTTTCATAGGAATTTGTGGAAATTAACAGGAATAAATCTGGATTATAAAATATTGAAGGCTGCCCYTTTCAGATTTTAAATGTAGCTGGAAAAAACATTTTAGCACAAACTTAAAAAACATTTCATTGCCGTACAATGACAACGAAATGATAATTCGGCCTAAAAACTGTCACCTGGACAGGTAGAAATGGATCATACTGGTCAAACGTCCTCTGAAAACCACTCAATACGACTGAATGTCAAACAGCTTCTTGTTTTATTTCAGTCCTATGAAAAGTTTTCACCCCCAAAACAAACCTCCCCAGTTCAACTGTCCATGAAAAGTTTCTGGAAATTTTCCGCCTCGATGCAACCATGCTCAGACCTCTCACAAATTTGGTTTTCCTCTTTAAAACTTGACAAAACTATGAAATTAATCTAAATTTCACTTATTYTTCAGCGATAGGTAACCCTGACTTTAATTATGAACATAAAAAAAACATTACAACTGATGCAGCTCAGCTCATTTTTCAAGACTGTAGATAAAATAACTTTATTTTTCAAGTAAATTTGCTGGATTTTAACTTGAATTTGTATTTTCTCCCGAATTCTAAAGTTTTATAAAAGCAGTTCAAAATGTAGTTTAAGTTTAAAATCACAGCYGGGGTGAGAAGAAATGGAGAAACTGCTGCTCAGTTTCACATTCAGCTTTCTGGTGTGCTGTGATCTGTTTGTGGTAATTCTGTGAAGACGGGGGACGGCTGATGCTGGGACTGTAAGGGACCAACACTAAAAACTCATTATGGGCCGACAGATTCTGACTGATTCTGACAGATTTTCAGTTAGTTTTTCAAGTTGCGACAGACCAGCTCTCCCACAGAGCCTCCTCTGCACACTGACCTTCTCATCAGGTTAAAACGTCAGAAAATTTACAGTACAAGACTGACACAGAGCTTAACTACTGGATTTAAGAGTTTGGATAATGCCGAAGAAAGTTTCAATTTTTTTGTTAGATTTCTCTCTCTCTCTTTTTTTTTTTTAAGTAGTCAAGCTCCTTGTGGGCGTGCAAATTTATGGGGCGGGTCAGTTCATCGAACAGTCCTCTCCCTCTGTGTCCGTGTCCGTCTCCGAGCAGGCGGTGTCCATGGCAACGTGGGCGGGGCTAACAATGACGGCTCGTCTCTGCTCGTCCTCCGCGCTGCCTCTCCTCTGAGTGCGCTCGATGTGCTGGATGGCCTGACGGGGTGAAACAAAAAAAATACTTTTATTCTGGAAAACGAGTTGGAATGAGAACAGGCTGAAGTGAAAAACATCTACAGAAATAAACCTTTGWCTTATAAACACACAGAAATAAATCCCTTTTTAGGTTTCATTTATGTCAGCTGCTGTAGCACCAGGAAATGTCTTCGTATAATATATTTGGTGATATAAAGTTCATGGACTGCCACATTCTCAATCTGAAGCCGGACAGTCGACTCTTGGTCTGGTGCCAGCAGGATGAATATTACCAGTTCTATCCAGATACGATATTATATCGATGTGTTTGGATGAAGATATGTTTAGGAGTGTAAGAAAATATTGATACGCTGAAATATCGCGATATTTCATTTCCTGATACTGTATCGATATTCTAAAGCCCTGTATCCATTTTTTAAATTAAGGTTTAAAATGTCAACTTTCCTGCCAGCCGTTCATTTTTATGTTGTAGTTCAGCCTCTGACCACTAGTTGGCAGCAGTGAGCCAGCCATTTGGCTCGCCATTGTTAAGTGTTGGATGACCATATGGTAAACTAATATTAAAAACTAAAAGCTGCAAAAATATATTTTCAAACTATTTATTGTCAAATTTAGTCTAATAATTGAAAACATGGATGAAATAAGAAATATGAAACAAATAAAATAAAATACATACAAAGCAGAACACAGCTAAATGTATTAGTATGTCTATGTAATATTAGAGTTTTCTGAGACAATGAATTTTGGTTTTTCATTTTTTTCTACTGTAAGAGGTTTTTATTTAATAGAATTTTTGGACAAAAAAAATCAATATATCGCAATATATCGGGATATATCGTATCGTGACCCCTCTGTCATGATATGCATTGTATCGCTAAATTCTTGCCAATACACAGCCCTAATAATGTTTCTCAAAATAACAAAGTTTGTCATGGTACTACCTCGATTCAATTCACAAGTCTGCAGTCGATATAATGTGATATKTATCCATCTAACACAATCATTTATAATATTAATCTAGGGCTGAATCGTATTTGCGATAATCTCGCGATGTGTTAAAACGAGGTTCTCTAACCGTACAGACYGATTTAACTGGTCACGTGACTTGGGAGTGAGCCGAGTGGTTGCTAACTTAGCTACATTGTTGCTGGATCTAGCAGCTTTTTAGGCCCCTCTAACACATTTCTTTTCCAAAAAKAGACTAGCGACAAATCTGGTGTCTTTTCCTGGTGTTTTTAGAGACGTTTAGGTTCTTTGATGAGAGAACTTTTCTCCTTTTCTCCTCCTCCGCCCGGTGTAAGGGGTCTCTGCATTAGGTTTTGTCCTGTGGGTGGAGACAGCCCCACTCGTGATTGGTGGGATTGATGGTGGGGTATGAGGCTGCCAGGCTGGAGGCAGCGAGGAGTAGCTTGGTCGAGTCGGGCACGAAGTAACTTTTTTTTATTATTAATTTTAGTCACAACTTGAGAAAGGACAGGGCTAGCTTCACGAAAATTGAACGTCGTACATGTGAAAGGATGTGTAACAATATGACTCGGTTCTGTAAATTGTTTTTAAAACAAAGCTGCTGCTGTTGATCATTCTGTTTTTATAAGCAGCCCTCCCAAGGCCAATACTCTAGGGAAACACTGGAAAGGTCTAAAAAAGGTTTTAGAAGATGTTTTTGATAAAATGACTGACTGTGAATGACTCAGTCTGCAATGTTTGCATCTGTTTAATCAGATGTCACATATTATGTACCTCTGTATAACCATGTTAATATTTTGACGAAAAATGTCACCTGCTCGACAGGGCAAAGAAAAAAAAAAAAACGTGTCGAACCCTGCCTTGTTGAACCCTTGTGTGTAGCCTTGAGGAACCAGAGAAGTCCAGTTGACCTTTACTGAACCACCAAGGATTGTCATGATGAGGATGATTGTGAGTTTACATTTGAGACTCAAACCTGCACAATGGTGTCCAGATTCTGTCTGGAAGTGGACACGGTGCTGGCGTGGGCAGATGGGCTCATGGTCACCACAGTGACGTGATGGTGGGGGTGTTGGGTTAGTGTTGGAGCTGGGACGATGACTGTGGGGTGGTGGGTCGGGGCAGGGGGAGAGGCCAACACCTGGTGGACAGAGGAGGAGAAATCAGAGCTCAGTGTTTATGATGCAGTTTGATCAAATGCAGCATTTTGAGGGTTGAAATCTAACAGATTTATTATCTGTATCCATCCATCCATGGATGGATGGATGGTGTTCCTGACCTGAGAACTGTGCGTTTGTTTATCAGCAGCGTGGATTTGCTGTAGCCGTAGCAGCATTTGGTTCTGAATAAGTGYCTGCTCCTCCTCCATCTTCTGGGTTAACACCTTCAGACGCTCCGGGTGCAGCTGGGTGTCCAAACAGCGCACCTGGAAGCACAGAAGCACCTTTTGTAAAGAAAATGCGACAGGTGAAGCCACAGCATGGTTACCTTATCAATAATTTAGAATCACCAACACAGACCCGCATGTGACCAAGTTCCTGCGAGTCCGTTCATGTTCTGTAAATAGCGCTGATCAGCAGCGCAGCTGGGATG